CATTTCGTCCTTGGATGGTGAAGAGATAGATTTCAGAAGCCAGGGCAGGAGGAGAGCCTTTTATTATAAGACAGAGGGCGCCATGGCAACAGGGAAACCCAGTTCTCTATAAACATAGAAGAATGTGTATTGTGCAGAGTCCCTCTTAGTATAACATATAGGTGGCTTCATTCACACTGCACATTCTGTGACAGCAACAGAGTGTGCACAGAAGCACAAACAGGCACAAATCAATGACAGCAGAGGGGGAAGATAAAAAAAAGTCCATAAGACCATGGAACAAATGATCTGTACCGCTGTTTCATCCAAGTGAAGTATAGATTGCATAGGTACAGGAACCATGAGGAATTCATACCATTTTAATGTGATTATTACACCTAATGCAAAGATTTATGAAAGACATCAGGAATCTGCTTAAAGCAGCTTAGTGTAATTGGACCACTGAAATCGGATTTAGAATTGGTTGAAAAGAATGAATACCAGGGGATGCAACGATGACATTGGGCAATTCTATACTGCTGGCTTAGCAGCTTTTGACAAGATCATAACTGATTAAAGATGTAAGAAATGCTTTGCTCCCATAACCAAAAACCTCACAGCCTTTCTGCCATTTCATAACAGTGCTATCACTAAGGAAATGGTAAACATCTCTGTTACAAATGGCGCGAACCCAGCAAACCACAAGCCACATCGAGCTCTCACTGATATACCAGATATCAGAAGAGCATTTCCTGGGTCTATAGTGAAATATACCCCCAGATGGCAAAATCAGGGTTCACCTAATACACCGGATACAAGAGCATTTCCTGGGTCTATAGTGAAATATACTTCCAGATGGCAAAATCAGGGTTCACCTAATACACCAGATAGTTGAGCCTAGGGTGACGGGAGGACGCTAGTTTGTGTCCTCCCGTTACCCTAAGGAGAACTATGGGGAAAAGCCTTAACCCCATAGTTCTCCTTTAACTCTGGTTTAATATTACTCATATTATTCTCATATTACTAACTCAGGTCAGTAATATGTAAAGGAGAGTGCTGGGGTCAGGCATACTGAAAGATTCAGAGATCAGTAGTATGTAAAGGAGAGTGCAGGGGTGAGGCACAATGAAGGATTCACAGGTCAGTAGTAAAGGAGAGTGCAGGGGTGAGGCACAATGAAGGATTCACAGGTCAGTAGTAAAGGAGAGTGCAGGGGTGAGGCACAATGAAGGATTCACAGGTCAGTAGTAAAGGAGAATGCAGGGGTCAGGCAAAATGAAAGGTTCAGAGGTTAGCAGTATGTAAAGAAGAGTGTAGGGGTCAGGAGTAAAGCAGGGATCAGAAGTCAATTATATCTAATGCAGAGCTCATAGGTCAAAAGTATGTAATACAATGTGGAGGTGTCAGGATTAAGTGATGTAGAGTGCAGGGGTCAGTAGCTTCTTACATTAAATGCAGGTGCCAGTAGTACATAACACACAATGCAGAGGTCAGGAATAACTTATACACATTTGTAGGTGTTCACATAACATTTAGTGCAAGCTCCCTATCCATTCTGTAATTCCAGTGTCCCTGACACTGCTAACTTGCCTGTTCACTAGGACTTGATGCTGAGGATCAGAGAAGAGTCAGCAATTGCCTCCTTTGGAATCTGAAGGAGCATAGAGCAGTTTACGGGTCACTCTCTTCCTGCTCCCAGGGAGCCAAACAAACAAAGCGCTATTCCAGCCTGGCAGTGGCAATCAAGGGGAAAGCACGCATGGGCGATCAACTAAGAAATCCAACTACAAGTGTTAACACAAAGTGACCGGTAATGCGTGCTGCTGGCGGCACAGTAGGGGTCGTAATCTATCTGTCACATGGCTATAATTGTGGTGATGGACTACAAGCTCATGTTTAGTTGACTAATTTGTAGTGAGATTGTAGTCCATCACGGGAGCGAGCTTGGAGCAGTGACTACTTTACAACACAGCAGCAGCTCCCACCAAACTTGGGGCACCGCGCTGCAATTAATGATTTCACATGCATTGCCACATGCTTATACAAGTCATAATATGAATAATAATGTGAACAGCATTTTCCTGCTCACATTCTAGTCTGCCAAGTAATGCAAGTAACAGCGTGACCCCCTGAGTGGGATATGGTGACCCTTCCTTGCTAATTCACAAAAGCTTGCCAAAAAAAAAGAAGATTATCATTTTTCTTGTAAGCATCCTTTAATGGTCATCTAATACACTCTTTGATGTCATTACACATGGTGTGTCTGAATTGCTCATTGTAATTGATTCAACCCCGCACAAGATAGAAAGACTGACTAGAAACTGATAAATAAGAATTCTCTAGTCAAATCATTATTTTCCTTAAAGTAGAACTGAAGACAAACCTTTTTTAAGTTTTGGATAGAGGAAGGGAGGGTTATAAACCATGTCAGGTTATTATTGCGGTCTGTGTCCGTGATAGGGAGAAAATCCCAAATTTTGGGTTGTCACCAGAACAGGAATAGATGGGAAACCTTCCAATGGGGACATTTTGATCAAATAGCCAAGACACTGGTTGCATGCTTGAGGGTCTAAAAGCCTAACTTTAGGCACAACTCCACCTGCCATATTTAGTACTGGCCTCTTCTCCCAGCAAATCCCTTTTTCTTCTGGCTAGTCACAAAGCAAACCAGGCTCTGTTTTGTAATTGGCCAGGAGAAGGGAACAGAGTTGCTACGGTAGTTTTTAGATCTATGAGACCTGCAGTGCTACAACTTGAACGGGCACAAAAGTTCATATGGGGAACTGGATGAGTTGAGAGCGGACACTTCTACAGTACTTTAAGGCGTATTCAGCCTGTTAGCAGTCCTGCCTGACTAGCCTCCCGACCATTATTCTCACAAAATCCAATGCAAAGGCATAACTAGAAACCTCAGGGCCCTGATGCAAGAAACCATGAAGGGCCCCCCACTCCATCCCCGTATAAAAAAGTTGGCGCCTTGGCAGTTACCGGGGTAGTGCATGTGTGTGTAATCCCAAGAGGCAGGGCCACCAGCTGAAATCATGGGACCCCAAACAGGTGTTCCGCCAGTGATCCAATGTCTCCGAATTGGTCAACAGACTAGGCACCAGAGGGATGCAGTAATATGCTTCTTACAGAAAACAGCTCTCTACCTCTCTCATTTTATAAAACCATGCAGGCTAGATTTTACCATTTAAGATTTCCCTGTGGGTTCATTTTAACCTCCTACCTATGTATCTTATTTTTAAAGATCACCACACCAACTCACTAGTTCCTTTAGAGTGATTACACTGTATCCTTATTGATGGCACATATGTCAAAAAGCACTGGTTTACACATGGAGGAGTCAAGTACTCTGTGCCAGTTCTCATTAGATACTATTAGTGCTGCTCAGTGCAGTAGGTATATGAGGTATTCTCATGACAGATGCAATCGCCTATATCCCACAGAGGAGATACAAATTGGAAACTGATTATTATATGTACTAAGAAACTCTTGCCAACCCACTACTTTCTACCTCAGAGCACCTACCTGCTTCTGTGCGGCTGCTCCCATCTGAAGTTGGCAGAATTTAATGGCTTGCTCTAATGCAGCACCTTCATCCACCTGCAAGACAAAACAACAAAGTCAATAAAAACAGTCATGTTACTACAGCAACAGCCTGAAAACTAATAAAACCTTAAGAACTCTAGTAATTGTTACACACAGGCACATCTGCAATCTATTGACAATGATAGCAGTAGAGGGCTCTGCTAATTGCTACCCACATTCTCTTATAGGGAATCTTTAATCTTCTTAGAATATATAAACAAGTCTAATGTAGAAAGCCTTCCCAATGTGTAGCAATAATTGAAAAAGTTTGACTGTACTGTTTTGAATGATATACTGTATGCACATAGGGCAGCCATATTTGTTTAATACATATAGAGACCTCTATAAATGCTGTATATTAATGTCAAATTCCAAAATCAGATTGTAAGGATATCTATGCACAAGAACCAGAGGATCTTATGATGCAATTGAAGTGCCAGTGATTTGAATGATGCTCCAGCCCGTCCCACAGAGCAATAATGCGAGTCTGTAAAAAAGGTCAAACTTTAGGTAAAACGATGTGGTAACTTAGATACCAATAAAATATACACACAACCACAAAACAAAAGCCGCTTGCCGGGATAACTTAATGAAAATAATACCAGATCCCCAGGGAAGTTTATCTCTCTAAGGATAACCTTTGACTTGTAAACATAGTAAATAGGTGTTCCAGCAACACATGACTATAACTAACCGTGATACACACAAACGGATTTAAGAGTGTCTATATTACAATTTCAAATACATTTTAAGCAGAAATGTAAACCTGAATGGAAGCATTGCAGTTGGTCAAACCAGAAGCAAGAATCAGCTTCTCTACCATAAAATACAGCTTCTCCTGTCCACAGAATGCAGCCACTATGTAGGCATGGAAAGTGAGAAACTACAAAACTCACTGGAATAAGACAATGATATGGAGCTGTCTGTAAAAGATAGTTCAGTTCAGACCCAACATGCGCACACTACACACTCTAACTAAAGCTGCCCCTACACCTTACAATTATCTGCAGATTTTCTGTGGTCAGATGGAAAAGGTGCAACAGATTCCTCCATCTACACTTAGCTTTGTGGATGGAGTAATCTCCACCTGGGCCACAGTTAAGTGTAGATGGAGGAATCTGTTGCACCTTTTCCATCTGACCACAGAAAATCTGCAGATAATTGTAAAGTGTATGGCCAGCTTAAAGCGGTTTTACCAGCTGCATGGTCTCCACCATATTCAGCTTTTATAAGCGCTGAGCATTTAGAAACAAACATTCAACTCTATTTATCCACGCGCACTCCCTTGCAAAAGTTTTCAAACCCTTGAGCAGTTCTGTCTTTAGAATGAAAATTGTGTTCTTTGTCAGGATTTTCTTTCAAAGCAGTGAAAGCTAAAATGAGGTGACCCGGTTCTGTGTTGAAACTGTCTGCAGAAGTGTTTAATGCTCACATTCCAGAATTCTGTAGAACCACCTTTTTGCAGCAATAACAGCTGGAAGTGTTCTGGGTTGAGGATGTAGCAGTTTTGTACACGGTTCTGGAGTGGATTCAGACTGTTGTTCCACGCAAATTTGCTTTAGGCTGGGCACACACCTTACAACCATCGCAAGACTTTTGTCTTGTGATGGTTGTAAGGTACTAAAAAAAAACCGTACGATCTGCCCATCTTGCATAGGCAGATCGTACTTGCGATGAAAAATTTATTGAAAATCATACCAGATCCCCAGTACAGATCGTACTTGCGATGATGGCAAGCCACGCCCCGAGGGGCGGGCTTGCGATGACCGCAATGCCGAACGGGCAGTGTGCGCTTGCGCACACTGGCCCGTCCGGCTTTTATCTCACGAACATGCTACACACCCGCCGAACATCGTACGATGCTCGGCGGGTTTTGAAACATGTCCGTAAGATAAAAGTCGTGCGACCTTACAGTAGTAGGGCTAAAGCAGAGACACCGGCACTCCAAATTTGCAAAATACGTCTATTTATTGACGTGCATCGTGGAAAAAAACAACAAATGTTTCAGGGTCAGAAAGGATCCCCTTCATCAGGTAAAACATGTGCTTTAGCTCACGATTGTTACGGCTGCCACCCGTTGACTACCGCAGCACCCAATTCTTGAAGGGATTCACGCGGTCAGGAGTGTGATGGGACCATGGACTATCTAACTTACAGTAGTAGAGGTCGCACGGCTTCCACACACCTTACGATAATCGTACGATCGTGGGATTTCCCGCGATCATCGTAAGGTGTGTGGGGACCTTAAGGGTGTTTAGGTTAGTTGGATGATGCAAATAAAATTCCTTAACGTGAGGGAACTGCTCAAAGGTCTGAGAACATCTGCAAGGAAAACTATATGCTGGCAAATGTCAAGTTCAATGGGTTTTCTGAGATCATTTCTGCGTGGCAATTTCCCAGAATTCACTGACGCCTCATTCACTCTAAATACATTCAGCTTATAATAAAGGTTTTCACAGCACTGCCCTCACAGGAAGAAGGAGGGCTCAAAATACCCGAACAATCTGATTGGATGCAAGCATTGTTTAGGTATTTTAGGAGCCAGCGGGGCTGACTAGCAAGATACTGAAGCTTGGCCCAGGTGGAGATTCCTCCATCCACACAGTTTAGTGTAGATGGTGGAATCTGTTGCACCATTTCTATCTGACCATAGAAAATCTGCAGACAGACAATCTAAAGGTGTATGGCCAGCTTAAAAGAAAGGCCAGAGCTACCCACATCAGTGTGCTGCTGCCCCTTTATTGCCCAAACAGAAGCTAAACTTCTGCTTAACAGAAGCAGAAACTAAAACTGTTAAACATCAAGGAACAGAATCCATTGTAAGTGATTTCATCAGCATTTGAAACAGCCTACAAACCTTCTGACTGTAATATCACTTGAAATGACTTGGTTTATTTCTTTCACACTATCTTACTTTTTTCTGTGCTATCTGTAAAAAATAAGTCAAGGCAACTGGACTCGCTGTATTTTTTTCTTGAAGACATCCAGTTGCCTTGACTTATTTTTTACAGATATACCATGACCTGGGTGAATGAGAACCTTCACAGACTTTTTTCTGTGCTGCTCATCCATTCTCTTTCTATGTTATTTTATTATAAGCATGTCCCCAGTCTCCAATAACTCCTGTAGAATGTTTGTTATCTTTCACCATCACCTGCAGCATGTGCACGGTCTTCAACCACCTTTTGCAGCATGCCCGTAGTCTCTGACCATCTCCTGTCACGTCTGCAGTCTCTGTAGTGTTATATTCACTAAATATTATGTGTGGCCCGGCCCTATGGTGATGCCAGGAGCTGCACCTGAGGCCTCAAAGTATCAAGTATCAAACTTGACTAGAACCGTTATAGGGGATACAGCAGGAAGTGTTCGCTTGCACGGGCGGAAATGCGCCGGGAAACTCCGCCCAGTGTGAATGGGGTGCAATTAGAAAATAATGGCACCCACAGTGCCATCGCCTGCTGTGGGCGACTCCGTGACCGTGCAGTTTTGTGCACATTTGCCGCGCGGTGAGGAGTCGCCCAGGTGTGAACCTAGCCTCGGGCTAGGTTCACACCTAAGTGATTTATCTGCGCGATATCGCACAAAACGATATAGAAACAAAAACGATATGGAAACAGTTCACACCTTTGCCATTTGTTGCGTGTTAGAAATTGCTTGCTGCGCCAAAAAGGCTAAGGCTAGGTTCACTCCTAGGCGATTAGTCATGCGATAGAGTGCAAAACACAGATTCGCATTGAAGTCGATGGAGGCTGTTCACACCTTTGCGGTTTGTCGCGTGGCCGAAATCACCTGTCACGCAAAAAGGTGCAGGAGCTATTTTCGGGCGGTTGTCACACGTTTTGGGTCCCATAGACATCTCTATGCAAGGAAAACCGCACTGATTTCAAAGAACAGTTGCGCAAACAAAAACGCTTGCCGGCTCAGTCGCCCAGGTGTGAACCTAGCCTCAGGAGCTATTTTGGGGCGGTTGTCGCGTGATTTGAGTCTCCTAGACATCTCTATGCACTGAAAACCGAGCGGTTTTCAAAGCAAGATCGCCCAAACAAAAATGCGCGACAGCCGCGCGAAAACAGCTCACCAGTGCAATCGCTTAGGTGTGGACCTAGCCTCAGACAGGTGGCAACATAGTCAGGAAAGATCACCAGGAGATCTTGTTTTTGGAGTATCCAAAACTCACAAGAACCTGGGGGGCCGACTCAAGCCACAGAGCTGCACCTACAGCTAAAATATACATTTTGGGCGCACTGATCCTTTAAACTTAATTTCAACAGATCCCACCTCCTCATATTAGTCTAATTGTCCTATTTTCTACCCTAGTAGGTCACAGAAACACATACATTTTCTGCTTTCCAATTCTTTCTGTAAAAAAAAAAAAAAAAAGAAGAAGAAGAGCTGGGGACTGATTGGTTGCTTTTTAATCATCTACTGATGAGTCTTTTTGCATTGCTTCATTCAAAGGGACACATTTAACGAGTAACAGATAAAAGGATTGATGGCTTTTTCAAATATGGCATTTACCAATGCTTCAGGGTAATGTCTTTTCTTGCTGATTACCTCCTATATACTAAATGGGCGTCACCTAAGCTATTATTATGAGGTGCTATGTGAGGGTAACTCCTCTGGGATAGCAATAGTCTAATCCACAATGAGCTCATTACTAAGACAGCTTGCACTGCAAAAACAGAACTGTCTGTAAGAGACAATCATTTCATTTCAAATATTTTTATATGCAAATACATATTTTAATCAGGGGCTTTTGCAATTTTCTTCACCAATGAGTTTCAGCAAGGAATTATTGTAAACATGGAAGTCATTTTCATCTTACTTTTTATGTGGAATATTTGCCACCTTTTGATGGCTGTATTATATACAAAGTTGTATTTTCACTCGTGTCTGTCTATATTACTAAGCAGGAGAGTCAGCATACCTGCTTAGGTGACATTTAGGCTGGGTTCACACCTGGGCCTATTTTTTCTGCTCGTTTTTTTTTTGCGTTTTTTAGCACGTTTTTCCGTTCAGTGAAACGCACGTTTTACTGGCGGTATGATTTTATTTTTTTTTTTCCTTATTTTATTTAAATATATATTTTTTTCCACTTTCAAACTTCCCGCCGGCTCCGTCCCCCTGCGACACTTTCCCCCCAAAAATGGTATAAAATTAATTTCAGTACAGCGTTGCATGACGGAATAAATGTCAGTCAAAGTACTGAACACTGAAAAATGGCCTGGCCAGGAAGGGGGTCTAAATATCTGGTCTTCAAGCGGTTAAGCATGCTGGCAGCTCTTGTTCTCTGGTGCTCCAGGAAATGCATGCAACTATCTTATTTGTGAGAAATATTAATTATAAAAAATGGAGAATCCACCTCTGATTTAACACGCATGCTAAAGTAACAATTGTTTGAGCAGATTGTTGTACTTACATGGAACAGCACGCAGACCATATCTAGAGTTGTGCTCCTAATGCTATGCTGTGCACATAATGCCCTAGAACAGTTCATAATGAATACATTTCTCACCTGTTTTATTAGCATATACGTTTTACACATGATATTTTCAATCTTGGCCAAGTCGTATGCTGTTACTTTTTGACCTTGCTGCCAAACTCTGTAGGCCTCCAGAAGTAAGTTTTTACTGTCCTCTGTGTCGTCCAGCAGCTTTCTCTTGCGGCTGGCTCGGTGTGGTGCATCCTCTGTTTGCTGTGTTTGCTGTCCAGAGCCCTTGCTTCCTGCAGGCAGATGATGCTTTGAACTGATGCTAAGATCTTCTAGTGATAACTCTGATCCCTCAGGTCCTTTCTCCTTATGAGCCTTAGTGGAGTCCTTTCTGAAAAGGTCTGCAAATTTCTCGGCATTGCAGAAGTGTCCATCATGGTCCATAGGATCAGAAGACTGAGCCTTCAATGGCTCTTTTACAATCCTGGCTTCCCCAGTTTCCATGGCCTGAGTAGCAGGACCCTGAACTGTTTCTTTGCCTCCATTCTCTGGGCCAGCAGTCACCCCTTCTCCCAGAACCAAGTTCTTCCTGGGTGGTACATCTTTCCGGTCCTCTGATGTGGGCCGGCCTGACACGTCTGTTGTCATGGAAGTTGTAAGGAATGAACTGGGGTCCGAAGTCTGGCAATCCTGTAGAAAAGGCACTCAGATTAGCAGCAATAGATACAGTGCAATATTAGTAATGTATACACAAGTAGTTTAGCAACTTTTTCCCCTGACAGTAAAATAAAATGCCATATTATACATCTAAGAACATACAGTATTTAACAAGTAGGTAGGTCAGTATGCAGGTACCCTGTTTCCCCGAAAATAAGACCTACCCTGAAAATAAGACTTAGTACTATTTTGGGGAATTCTTAAAATAGGAGACCTACCCCGAAAATAAGACCTAGTTGTGACCTTTCCCAGGGTCGGTGGTGGCAGAAGGGGAAACTTGAAGAGCCGCGGCAGAGAATCGGAGATGCCAGCGCTAGAGGAAGCGAGGTGGCAGCGGAGAGAGCAGAGCCGCATGAGCCGATGCTTCCTCTAGCGCTGGCTCCTGTCACAGGCGGAGTGATACCAAATGCACTCCGCCTGTGAGGAATCGATAGTGAAAGCGTGCTTTGCTCATTCTGGCCAGGGATTGGTTGCCAAATTGCTCTTGGAAAGGTACGACGCACCCCTGGTAGTATGTTATTAGACTAAAAGTCAGTGTTAACATGTGAAAACCATTTTTGAGACACAAAGCATGCTCATTTACTTTGCTGAGATCTTTGCATGAAATCTAAGTTACCAATGGCAACTGCTGTGATCTGATTGAAATTAGCAAAAAATGAAAAGATGCAGATGGGCAGGTCAATATACAAATGGTCCCTGGCACACTTTCAAGCTGGCCAGAAACAAAAAGAAAAAAATAATCAGGTCTTTGTTGCATACATTTGCAAATACACAAAGAAGCCAAACTGCTGTGTCAAGTGTGGCCCCTAACTCTAAACTATCTGACTTCCCTGCTATGGGACACATAGTGCACAAACAGAGAACAGACTCATCTGGAGGCAGTCCTTTGCTTCCAAAGGAACAGTAACACACAAAAAGCCGAGACAAATTCTTCGCAAAGGCAGCTAAAGAACCTTGTTGGGCACATATTTCCCAGCATGCAGCACAGACTATTGATTACGTTTGAATGCTCACATAGAATTAAGTGTAATTATCCCCATAGCACTTCACATGCAGGGAAGGTGGAGAATTCTATTCAAGCAGTCCTTTGTGGTACCGTAGATCCACATGAATAAATCCCTTACTTTAGGAGAATGTTTACGGAAAAATACTTTGTCAAACAATCATTCTCAGGTGACAGTGATCACCACCTATGAGATTGTTAACACCTAGCCCCTTCTCTGTGACTATGGCTACTAGCAGTAGTCTGGTCACTGCAAGGATACCATGCACATGGGTACACACATGCATTTATGAGCTCATGGCATCTGCATCACAAGAGTACATCGACATCCTTATATAGAAAGGTACAGATTATCAAAACGTTCATCTACTGCTGCTGGACCTTAAATAGTTAAAAGAACATATTCATCCAAAACAGAAACCTAGATACCTGCATATATCCATATTTGCATAAGCTGATCAGCAGTAACACATAGCATGTCAAGGGTTACAGCTATAGCTAATGCGGATACATAGCAAATACTTTTAGTACTGCGTACTTTGGATTTTAGGCTTGGCTTCATTTGCAAAAACAGAGAAGCACTGCAAAAAAAATGCAGAAAAACTTGATGAGAAGCGCCATCTCCTTCTTACCCCAGTCAGGTCACTCAGTGTGTCCTCCAACACTTTCACGGTGAAAAGGAAAGCTTTCTTTGCCAGAACCTGCCGATCCGCATCCCGCAAATACTTCCTGCAAAGGAGGGAACATTTTTCTTATTATCAGGCATGTACTTCCTGGAAACAGTACAGGACATCGAGAAAGCAAATAGAGGCATTTCAGCTGTGGGACTAATGATAACAGCCAGCACTCCCATACTAAACAGAAAAATCCTGCTAATGATATTATGTGTATTGTTAGAAGGCTGCATGCTGCCACTTAGAGGGGATGCTCTCTTTTATAATGCATTCCTAAGTGCTGTGGTTTCCTATATCAGATATGGTGTTTCCTGACAGTCAAATCATCAGTCTAGACAAGTGCTGCTCAGCCTATATTAGGTTGGAGTCCCAAATGAAAAGCTGCCAAATGTTTCTGTAATAACTCTTTAAAGAGGATCTGAACTGTGGAAGATGTGCCCAAACATAGCGAGCAGAAGCTAAAGGAATAGTCACCAGTAATGCCTGTAGGATCCATGAAGCTGATCTTTTCCCCATTTTGACTTACCATACCTTTTCCATGTTGTGCCTCTGTGTTTAAAACAAAAGCAAAAGGTTTCCCAGCACACTTACCAGCTAGCCTGCAAAAAAACAACTGCACTGTCTAATGATTGGGGCTAAAACCAGAAGTTTTAGTTGCACAACGTTTGCAAAATATATGGAAGCCACACTGCCTTGTCAAGGCTAGTGATGGGCTTGGACGTGTTCGCAGCTCCACGTGCCGAGCCCGCCAGGAATCTGACAGCGCCGCAGTGCCAATCACAGGTACTGAGACATTATCCCGGTCCGCAGCTGCAGAGATCGGGATATGTCTCAGTGCCTGTGATTGGCGCTGCGGCGCTGCCAGCTTCCTGGCGGGCTCGGCACGTGGAGCTGCGAACACGCCCGAGCCCATCACTAGTCAAGGCCCCTCTGTATAGTGTGGTCCTAACTTTGAGAGCCTCCATCTTGGAACATATATAGCAAAGGATCTTTGAGGAGCAGGGCTTTGCTTCTTCATGTCAGAGCCTTCATTACTGGGGATCTGATGACTAGTGGGTAATACTAGGGAAGCAGCAGCAGGAGAGCTACAGAAACCAGTCACCCATCAATGAATGAAACAGAAGCAAAGAAACCCTTGCAAGCCAGATCCTCAGGTAAAAGTACTCTCTCCAGAGAGGAGTAACACCACCAAATCTCAAGAGGCTAGCTGTCACAGGCAACAGTGCCTTAGACAATATCACACTGCAGAAACAGTATACAGCTTTGAGGCTATACAACATGAGTGCCTAGGCTATTTTCAGGAGGAGTTCAAGCTAGGTAGATTTTTCAGGGTATTGCTTAGATACAATAACCATTCCTAAATGTTCCCAATAAGATAGCAAATCTTTAAGGCCTACTTTAAGCAGACATACACGTGCAATCAGATCCTACAAGGATGCATACACTGATGACATTTAAGAATCTTCTAAACCAGCCAATGAAGAAGAGGCACTGTGTGTGCTGCTGTAGTTGTCGGCGTCATTCAGATACATATAATCTATATGTATCTGATCTATAATCAGGCCTTAGATAAGTGACATAACAATGAGCACCTTATGATACATGTAAGAGAAGGAGAGGAAAAAAAACAACTTATAAGGAATGCAATAATAAATCATGGAGATGGTCAACATCTACATTTTCCAAGCATGGAAATAAAATTCAGTCAACATTGTTCAGGCAGTTTCAGTTCACACATTTAAGTTTATACAGAGGTACAACTCTATTAGATCCCAACCAATTATTCACTCTCGGAATGTCATAATGATTCCAACAAAACTGTATACCACAGAATAAGTGACTGACCAGTAGTTTCCTATGTTGGGTCATTTCCATATTCTCTGATATTCCTATAAAGAGCTATTATGGGTCCTAAAACATATGTCGATGTGTGTCCATACAGATTTGACATTTGGGACAGGCATTTGATCTGTCCTAATTCAGTTTATGCATTTTGTTAGGTGCCGAGTTGATTCAGCAAAGGAATAAAGCAGATATCATTTGAGAGGAGACAACAAAGGCACACGATTCAGTAAAGAATATGCAAAGTTCAATACTAATTACCTTTGTCTGCTATTTTACTGCACAAACTCAGAAAACAGAGTATATAACATTTTGGGCCTGTACCAGAAAGTTTTGTCTTGGACATAATTCTACACTTACAGTCAGGTGTGGAGTCTTCAACTGCAGTATTGTGGCAGCTGACTATCAAAAAAAGCAACAGTATACCTAGCGATAGTTTAAAGCCCAACTGAACATATTCAATTAGACAGACGTTGTACAAATGACCTCCATCTTCAGTCTTATCTCCACTTTAATGTTACAGCAATCATGTAATGTTAAAGAAAAACTATTGAACACTTGAGTTATTGCTCATGTCAACAACTGTTGTTTTCCTGAGTTTGATGTGCATCTGGAGCGAATGTTAAACAGACATCAGTAAAATCCCATTGACTTTAATACAGCAATCCACACGGCCGTTCGACGTGCTTTGCGTTGCGTCGCATTTCTTTGGACACAGCATGTGCATTTAAACTGCATTCAAAGCAGGTCAAATGTAGCATTTTCTTGAAAAGCAAAAAGCATTTGACAAGGATGCCCATAGGCATGAGTCCTTATGTAACTGAATTCACATGAACTGTTACCAAAGTATGAAAAACAGCAGTCTTATTATTCAAATAACTCCTGGCAACATTAATTATCTAGTGAAAAATATTGAAATTATATATTGGGACTATAAAAAGGATGAACTATGCTTATGTTTTATGGAGTGGTAAGAAAGATATGAAGAAGACTCATGGCATACAAAAGGCAAAGTAGAGATGGGGAAGTAGAGATCAGTTGCAGCTGTATATCAATTGAGGCATTATCTCCAATCTGTAAAATCACGTGCTGATCAACACGATTTTGCTGATTACATCTGTGAATGTTTACCAACCACAGACAACAGTATAAAGAAGAGGAAAAATATACTGTATTCTGATGCTTTAGCGTTATTTACTTAAGTTTAAGTTGTTTATTACATTGTAAATAGGCTCTTCCTCAATACAGGAGTTCTGATCCTTTGCTCCTAACACCAGCACCCAAGGGTAGAGGGTATAGCTAGCTGTGTTGTATGCCACAGCAAACCGCTGCAGGCTACAATCTCCAAACTGCTGAAAAATTCTGCTTCCCTTGAAGTCAGAAGACTGGTTTTCTAAACAATGCTGCTTGTACTTTCTCAAACACCTCTTGTGAAACCATACTAAACTGCTGTAGTAATAATTGCTGGGCTGAGCACATGACTGTTTTCTTAAAGCCCAATTGAACTTTCAGTTTGATTCAGCTAAATACATTCCAGTTGCATCAAAAATGTGTTCAAAGTCTTAAGGTGCCCATACACCTTACGATTATCGTACGATAATCGTACGCGATCGACTTTTTATACGACAATCGTAACGTGTGAATGTAGTGCCCGACCGACAGTACTGTACAATCGTACGACTTTTGACGTTCAAGCATGTTGGAAAACTTTGGTGGACCGTACAATTTTTGCATGGTTGGTGGCATTTCCGTCTGTCAAAAGTCGTACGATTAACACTGTTCATGCGCAAACGAAAATACGTGCGGTCTACTAGCGCAATTTGTCCAGGTGTTTTTTTTTTTAACTACCGCTGATTGAACCTTGCGATAATCGCGGCAGGATGGGGCCGCTGTACGACAATCGTACGATGTTTCAATCATCGGACGAAAATTTTCGTGCGATAATCGTAAGGTGTATGGGCACCTTTACAGTTCATTTTCTTTAGAAAGCAGCAGCAGCCAGAAAAGAAAAGCCTGTGTCCCAGCAATACGTTGCAGAGAAGGAGCCTCGCTGTGTGGAAGCAGGGGTCTCTGCTGAGGTCCAACACGCCCCCTGCTAAGTCAGACCAATAGCTGTGCAATCAGCAAAGCTCACACTACCTGCTGATTGGAGAGCTCTAGCTCTGATTTTAGAAGGGGTTGTGTAGGACATTTGCAGAGGGGCCACTGCTTCCACACAGGGAGCACAGGTCCCCTTTCTACAGATGCTGGCAGGGAACAGGCTTTTATACTCAGGATGTGGACACCTTTTTTTGATGCACCTGAAATGTATCGAGCCGATTTAGGGACTGTTTCGAATATTCCTGCTGAAGAAATACACGAAAAAGTGGATTACTAACAACTCAATGAAAAACCATGTCCCAAGGCACTGAAAAATGTAAAGTAAAACTAAAGGCAAAACTTTTTTTTGTTACTTATAGAGTGATGTAGGGTTAGAAGGATTGTCAGGTGTTTTTGTTTTGTTTGCAGTCTGTGCTTTAGGGAGATTCACTCTAAGTGTCCCGATTGCCAATGTCACCAGGAATAAGAGCCCCTTCACACCATCCAGTGCGTTTATCGTGCCCTGGGATGAACATATTGGATCGCATGGGCCAAGTGCATGCACAATTTTTTGCAATCCCACCGCACTGGAACGCAAGGCATTGCGGTACCGCGCATTTCAGTGCAGGCGATCACACTGCGGACGGGAGGCATGTCTGCGGTGCCAATTAAATAAATGGCACCACCACGTCCCCTCCCACCCCAGAACCCGAGGAGGCTTTGTTTATGCAATTCATTGCGTTCATTCCACAGGACTGTGCAATTAACACACCGGAGGGTGTGAACGGGCCCAGAAAGTGAGGGTAAATCCAAAATTTGGAGTTGTCACCAGGAAAGAAATAGAGGGGAAATCTTCCAATGGGGAAACTTGTTCCCATGGCCACTGTCTGAGAGGGAATTTCCCTCACATAGGAAGGATATCCTCTCACTTCCTTTTGAGTATAAAGGACAGGAAATGAAGAGTAACCTCTGTAATGAGACACAAATGGCAAAATTAAATACCGACAGCCATTTTAACCCTCCCTATGCTAACCAAAATGAAAGAAATTGCTTTAGATATACTTTTACAACTCTGTTAGGTCATATAAAATACAGAAGATGCAAAAAAGAGCTTATGTATAAAATGATAGAAAAATGATGCACGTTTGCATGCAAAATCCAACTTTTGAAATTCTTCTGAGGGCCTATGGTCTCGTTAAATAATGTTAGAATGTGATTTATAAGGACGGGAATTCATGTGATATAATTAGAGCAGCGGGTTCAGCTGTTTATACCTAGACACAAGTGAATTAACCATGGTGCACTAATGGCATTCTGAACATTTCAAGTGGTTATTGGTCCCTCAGTTGTTACTTTTAAGGATGAATTGGAACTAATTACAATGCAGCCTGCATATTTTAATAAACGTCTGCATTAAAACTGCTGGTCCTGCATCTCTGAGAGTAATAAAGGCATGATTAGAAAGTAAATGAATGGGAGATATATTCGGAGGCTAACACTCACTTCCCCTGATCGGGGGTCCTCTGTAGCATGCAAGAGATTTTCAGCAGCGTGTTGGAGTCTTTGAGTTGGGCCAGAACGTTCAGAAGGAGCACGATGGAACGGCTCATATGAGAAGCAAAACTGCCGGGGCGATCTATCTCATCCACAGGTATCCGCCAGATTCCCTGAAAGTCAGAGGAAAAGCAAAATAAATATGTAATAAAATGCAAATGACTTAATACACAAAAGGCTTTCTTAACATCAACCTTGATGAGACGTTAAAAAAATATTGCTTTTTTATTGTTTTTATATATACAAAATGATTTTACTTGATGTAAATGACCTTATCGGTGTATGTTAACAATTTAAAAACCTTGTTGTTCTGTACCGTTTGTATTTAGAAATGTACATAGGGGACCCATATTTACTCATTACATATGCAGGTTCTGCTTATGGATTTGTACTGCTACACAATGGTTGTGCTTTACGGATTCTTCTCACATCACAGGTCTACCAAACTCTGTCAAAACAGTGAATTTCCCATGTAGCTGATATCTAGCTAACTTGGATGAAATTCGAACTGTGGATGGCCCTGTCTGTGCCACTCTGTTTTGCAAAAGTCAAATTTTCAAATGGTCAGCCGATCAGCTGCAGCTACTGGTTAGGTATTTTGACAGCTGCAGGCGCCAGCTGTCAGGATACAATAGCTGACAGGGGAGATTCCTCTGTCCACGCTGTGGATGGAGTGTTTTTTTCTCATTTGGCCTGCAGGACTAAATGAGAACAAATGACTAGTGTATGGCCAGCTGTACTTCAAAGCTGTACTAAAGCTGTCATGACAGAAACATGAAGGCTGCCAATTCTGGCCTTTCCTTTTGGAAAAGCTAGTTGCCTGGCTATGGCTATCATGCTGACCCTCTTCATGCAATACTTTGAATCACTGACCTAGAACAGTGGCGAAGGACAATCAGCGAGGCTACAGTGGGACACACACTCAAAATATGTGACTACTGTGTGAATCCCCCCCCCCCCCCAGGAAAACCAACAACAAAATTAAATCTTTCAATTGACTTCTGTTGAAGAAGCCGGTCCAGGAAATTGTGATCGAACAGCAACTGTAGTTCCTACTCTGGTATTCTGACAGCAGCACACCTGCTGCCCACTGTCCGAATACAATAGGCTGGGGGGGATTCCCCCCATCCATGCCAACAGTGGCCTGAGTGAGAAAAGACTATAAGTGTATGGTCACCCTAAATGATTTTAGTAGCCATCTACAAATCTCTACATTTAAGACACATCAAATATGCATTTTAAATAAACAGTGCAATAACACAAAATATCAACTCAGTAAAAACAGTATCTGCTGTGTGAAATCTCAGGCACTGCCGCCTCTGACTGCTAGTCTCAGAAGATATGGACTGAGATTTGGTGATGTCACTACTCTGCAGTTCTCTGTGTGGAAGTATCAAAGGAGGAAAAACCCTGTTTATACCAAGATAGTCTCCTCCACCCAGAGACTCAGTGCAGAACAAGGCATGGTAAGTCAATCATGGGTGAAAGATAAGGCCATAGGCAATGCTGGTGACAAGTCCTTTGCATGCCTTTTTTTTTTTTGCACAGTTTGCATAGTTCACTTCCATTTTAAGAGGTTCACATGCAACCCTCAGGTGACTATTTCTAATTGGCAGTTACTGAAACTACAAGAGAAAAATGTGATTAGTTCCTGCTAAAAGGATGTGTTCTTTACGCTGCACAATATTCATACGTACTGACTTTTACCAGAAGGACTATGAATGTATAAACACCTCATATTAACCACCTGATTCAAACGCTTAGTGCAAGTACCAACCAGGTCCCGTGGGACTTGTTGAGACTCTTAAGAGATGCATGCTGCAAAGTCACAAGGGGAAACAGGAAATAACAGTCAAAGAGTAACATATTTTGTGACATACAAAACAAGCTGAGTAAAACAAATGACAACTTTTAAGTATATAAAATGAAACTATTCTTTCCATTCAACACTTAAAAAAACCTCAGATGGCTTTTAATGATCCTATCAAACTATTTCGGTTCTCAGTCTGGTTTGGCAATTCCTATCAGATTGTTGGGTCTGTTCCGCAGATCCTATTGCATCTCATCCTGTAACTCCCCACTGCCTCTGTGCACTGCTCCCCAAATATTACGCATCATCTGGCTGGCTCTCCTGCTCGTTTGCGGGTTAGTGAGATTGTGCCTAATTAGTAAGCCACCCAAACATCTTGATCGAGCTGGCGTGGGTGGAAGGGGTGTGGGAGGAGGGAGAGGGAGACAATGGGGGATAGAAGACTAGCGTTTACTTCTAATTCTCACTCTATATTTATGCAGTGGCAGATACAAGGGTGCGATTACTAAACAACAGACGAATCGGAAGACAAAACTACAAAGTCCGTGTGAAAAGTATCAAAAAATATACTTTAACATATAGAAAATGTGTCCGTAGAGTTTCCTACATAGAATTGTCAGCAACACAAAAGAAATAGCAAATCAGATATTCTGACTGGGATTACGTATGCTGCACTCCTAACCCGAGAAAAGAAAAATCTGTTATTAAAGCAATGACCCCTAACATATGTACTACCTGGCAGCGCCATCTGCCATTCCAGCTGTGTACCTGTGTCTGAGTCATCGCAGGCTTTCTCCATACCTCGGCTTTCCAACAAAAGCTGAACTGCTGAGACACTACGGTAAGCACTGGATTGTTGTAGGAGTTAGATTAGATGACATCATGCTGAATCCTGCTCGGGAGAAATAAGACTCTACCTGAGCCTTGCTCTCCTTTCTGTATCTCAGTTAATTTACCTCAGTTAATTTACCTTGCATTTTGACATCTGAAGCTATAGGACCGTTGCATTCATGGAGGCAGCCAGCACCACATTTCAATTACAGATTTTTGTGGTGTGGTTTGATACACCAAACATAAACAAACATGTAGTACCATGGAGAATAAAAAACCCCAAAAACTGTATTTTCCCCTACAGAATAAATAATAGATCTGGCCTATAAACCCTTCTCCCAAATCTGGCTTTAGAGACAGATTCAATCTTTGTACAATCAACTTTAGATTTACCAAAACTATGTAAAGCTGGTCATACACTGGTCGAATTTTGGATTTTGCCCCCCTCAGGTTTTTTCAATTGACTGGAAATCTAAGCTGAACAGTGGCTGCAACCAATGGACAGGATGGGGGAATCAAGCGTTTCTCTTTCGCTCATTGAAAGACACAGCTGAAGCAAAGGGTTATACCGCCACCTGCAAGAGTGGGATGCTAGGCAGAAAACAACAAAGCACAGCCCTGGGGGCGGCCCCTGCAGGTGGCTCAACCCCCCCACATTCTAGAAACATCTCAATTTTTTGCCTTTTTTTCTTAATCCGATTGATTTCCCATCCCTCGGTTCTCACTGCTTTGGCACGTCCTTCAATGAAAGAAATAGGATTTTTTTGTACTCCCCATAAAATCCTTTTCTCTGTGTTCATTTAAGGACACAGCACCCTCCCCTCTGGAGTTGTCTGTGCCTTTTTCCACTGCTTTGTGAATAACTGAGATGCTTCTAGGAAGTAGAGGGTTGAGTCACCAGCAGGGGCCGCCCCCCAGGGCTCTGCTTTGTTGTTTTCTGCCTAGCGTCCTACTCCTGCAGGTAGCGGTATAACCCTTCCGTTAAATGAGGATTCAGCTGTGTACTTTAATGATTGCAGAGAAAAGGATTTTTTGGCGAGTACAAAAAAAACAAAATTTCTTTGGACTAAACCAGAAGAAACGGCCACTGTCTAACCAGCTTTATCTTGAGACCTACCTAAACTATCTAAATCAATTTGCAGATCAGATAGGCCCTTGCACTGCATAGTTGTTGGTAGATCTAAAGGAGCTTTTCCAATCAGGTTGTAATTTGATTTGTGAGTTTAAGAGGGGTATTTAAAAGATCCAGTCAGCCCAGGCAAAAGTAATGCTAGGCCAAACAGTGATGTCATGGGTACACATGACTGGCGACAGTAAAAGGTGTAACTGGCAGACACCATGACCAATCTGGAATGGACACATTCCTCGTGCTTCTACCAGAACAAACTCCTAGCAGGAGTATGTGTTATTTGTTGCTTTTTTCTGTAAATGTCATCACGTGAGATAGCACACCTCACGCAGACTACGGAAAGACCTGTGGAAAGTTTACCCTGTGATTATACACTTTCCTTTACCAAGCTGGCACATGTTCTGTCAATGGAGGTATCTGTTGCATATATTTGCAGCTAAGGAGAAATCCCTTCTTTCTATACAAATATTGACACGACTGATGAATTCACTTCTTCTCTGTTCTTTAATCCCTTTGCTAATCTTCCTGGGTCTATAACCTTTTCTACTTGTGTAGGCAATATTCCCGGCTACACATGCACTGTACATCATAGATATGTGAACCCTCGGAGCCTTGATTCACATAGCCTGGTTGTGCTATGTGAATGCATTGTAATGCAATTAAAGCAGCACAGCATTCTGCTCCCTGCTAGATCTATACACCATTGGAAGGGAGCTCGTAGCAGGAGTGCAGAAAGGCAGAGATGTCCATGATTTGGAACAGGTTCAGCTTTTGCCTTCTCTCAGACTTGAAAGGCATCGGTTCCAGACTTTAGGGAGCTAAGAGAGTCCAATGCTGCTGAATAATTCATTCTTTTTCCTGTGTGTGCACCCGCAGAGAAAACCAAACAGCAAACACAGGAACACAGCCAGCCTTGCTACTAAAGGGAGGGGAAAGGGGAGAGAGATAAACAGAGTTACAGCACAAGAGGACATGAAGACTAGAGCATCACACAAGAGATGGGGGGGATACAAGCGAGGACGAAGAACGTGGATGCAACGAGACCAGGCGAGATTAAAGAAAGCTATAAAAGACGAGTGTATGTATGAGAAAAGGAAAAGCAGCCTCGGTCACAATGATTACTGCCCTGCCCTCACTTCCTGCAGTTGCAAGGGTGAAGGCTGAGCCCGTCATTACACAACTTTCAAAAGTCTAACAAGAGCTATTTTTAGCCCTGGAGGAAAAGTCATTCAGCCAAGTGACGCGAGGTCTCCCCTCCTTTACATATGCACATACATATATATAAAACACATGGACACAGAGGGGGGGAATGGCCCTTCTCCTTCGCTGGGGGGCTGATTTGC